ATGTATCAGCATACATTTGATACGGTTTGTTCTTAAACTCTGAAGCAATTGAGAGGATACAAGTCATTAATCGACATTTTCATTTTGTGTAATGTTTTGGACATGGATAAATATGCAACATGTTTACCATGTTACAATAGATTTTATAACATTGTGTACAATTGTAATTGAAATATTTCATAAATATAGCAAGTTTGTTGAAAAGTTGATCTGTGGTTCATTAACTGCAATATAATTGCATTAGTTTTAATATCAAACGCAAAGGAAGCACATAGAGTGTCAACTTAATTTGTTTTATCTATAATTTGTAATATGTTAGCAATATATTTATTAAGATTTAATATATGTTCTTATTTTAGTAATCAACACTGTTAACAACTGTGGCAACAATCTGATTATGCTGCAATCTACAAAGCTTACTTATTCAACTGTAACATTACAGCATAATATCATAAGTTTATGATAATAAATTACAGTTACATAAGAACGTGATGGTGGCTACAAAGTTCAAATAATTAAAATGTATTGATTTGTAAATTAAAAATAATAAATGGATAAACACCAATATGATTTAGTTTTTTATACAATTATGTACTTGTGGTTTAAAACATTTTAATACTGTAAATATGATTATAATACAGTAAGCCTAGTTTATCTAAAGCAAGTGCATGTATGGGCTGATGGTCACCTTCTGGGATTCAAAACATCTGTAAATGACAAGAGACTGTATGTCACCTGTAAAGATTTATGTATGAGCATTGGTTATGTGAGATGATATGGTGTATGTATTGTACCTATAGAAAAACTCAATATGACTCTCATGCCTCTGTTTTTTATTTCAGCGTAAACTACTTGACACAAGTCTCGGATTTGCTGGAGGAGTGATGGCGGCTGCTTCATATTGGTCACTTCTAGCTCCTGCAATAGAAATGGCTGAAGATTCAAAACTTTATGGACAAAATGGACAATATGCTGTTGTTCCTGTGGCTCTTGGATTTTTAATTGGGGCTCTTTTTGTTTGTGGGACCGATTTCTTCATTTCATCACTTGGTGTACATTCACCAAACCTCATTTTAGGTGATTGTTTAACTTATAAGTATGGTTTATGTGATTTGTTCCCTTACAGATAGGGTTTTTGTCAGTGTTTCTCAACCACCAAGCCCTGGCATCAATTATACCAGGCCCTCGTCTTATAAAAAAAAGAATTTACCAGGCCATGGTCTCACAAAGGTTGAGAACCGTTGGTTTGTGTGATTGGTTTGCATGGTGTGTCCCCTTAAGCCAAAGTTAAAGTTGTCCCTTTCCTTAACTATTTAAACACTATGTCATGAATTTATATGGGGGAATGGATGTATAGATCCACATTTTCTTGACCTTGGCACAAGCTGGAGGTGAGTGGTCAGCTTCACGCCCTGGCCGCTTTACCCCCAGGGAAAGAGGCCCTGATACTCATTGGATAGGAAGTTGAGTAGACCCCAGAGCCAGTCTGGAAGATGTGGAGAAGAGGATATTCTCCACCCTACCAGGACTCAAACCCTGACCCCTCGGCCATCCAGCCTGTAGCCAGTCACTATACCGACTGAGCTATACTGGCTATCCCAGTGTGTTGACTTAGAAGTAGAAACTGCTGCGTTCTCTTATACCCCATACATGAATTGAATATCTACTTTACTTTCTTTAACAGCATTGTCATCTGATGACATGTCTCGTAAGGAAAAGGATGACAGGAATCCTTTGTTTTATGACACACATCATATGCAAACCACAGAAACAACAACAATTGAAGGTAAGTTTTAAAATATTTTATAACTAATTGTGACATATATGTTGAAGATTAGTGTCTTCTGAGATGTTACAATGTATAGTGTAGTAAAAAGTTGGAGGAACCTGCTGCCTCCGTCTTCAGGGTAGAAGAATGCAATGAGTATAGAAAATATGGTACATATATAGGTAAGCAGAGGGTGAGAACTGGGTCCCTGCGTTAACCAACAGGCATAAGGAGAACTGTGTAAAGAATATTGGTCCCTAGATAGAGCAGTTTTTTTTATTGCTAGTGGTGTGGGACTAAGTCCCTTGTACTGCGGCCACTTCTGGCCTATTGTACCAGCCCCAGATGATAGGTGTGGGTGAGTGTGGAGCAATTGGTGGAATGAAGATTGGCAAGGGAAACCGAAGTACTCGGAGAAAACCTGCCCCAGCACAAGTTTGTTCACCACAAATCCAACTTGACCAGACACGGGTTCAAACCTGGGCCGCCACGGTGGGAAGCCAGCGACTAACCGCTTGAGCTATGGCTCAGCCATTCCGGGCACGGTATATAAACAGAACTGTATATAGGGGAAGTGGTAGTAGAGAGGAGTAGTCACAGTGAACAGGGGATTTGCCCCACATGTAGCAAAGAGCATCATGAGAGCCACTTATTGAGGTGTGAAGGAACAAAGATTTGGAGGGACAAGGTGTTGAATGAAAGGCATAGGAGTATTTATGCAGAAATTAAGTATTAGGAGGATAGTGCAGTGTAAGAATAAGGAGCAATGGAACAAAATAAGGATATATATGCTTAAATATAAACAGAAATGGGAGGATGGTAAGGAAGAATAGAAGTAAAGTTGATGTAAATTCAGATGACCAGAAATAAATAGGGGTGGCAACGGTATAAAAAAAAAAGGTAAAAGCTATTCCTGTAGTAGGCCATGGAGGCCCAGAGGTTTGTGAGATGTTGAGGCTCCCAGATTTTCTAGACAATCAGCTCACAGATGGTGGCGAGGTTGTCTGCCTTGCGTGCCGGCCACCCTTTACACCCAGGAAGATCCCTGGTACTCATTTCTGTTGGAGGCTGAGTTGACCCCAGGGCCATAGTGCGGCTGGAAGGACTAGCTCAATTGAATAAGTGAATGATCACATTTGGAACAGAGTATGCTTAATTAAAATGTTAAAGTACAATAAGTGAGTTTTCTACCATAGGAGTAGTAATGTAAGCGGGATGGCGGAACATAGGACCAGGGAATCAAACTCTGGCACCCAGTAATTTTAAATTAACAGAACTAATGAAGTAATGGCTCTGAATGAACTGATGGCAGGTAGATGGAAATCGGGGGAACCAGAGTGTAGCATGTAGAGCCATTGCTAGGCAAATAAACAATGGCCCTTTCTGGTTGCGGCAACAAATACTTGCGCTACAATAGAAGAATGGTGTTTTCTTTGCGGTCCATGCCGAGATGTTATAACAAGGACAGCTGAAGCAATGACTTCAGTTCAGATGTGGAGTATTAGCCAGTGGGCAATGATAGGAGCACAGAAGCTGGAGAATCTCCATTGTTAAGATCCATTACCAGGAAACAGCTACTGTAAAGTATGTTGATCAATGATAGCATTGTGATTACTTGTGCTTATGAGTCATGTGTACAAGTGGTAAATAAATCCATTCACCAATCCAAACCCCGTCTGTAGTCACCCACACTCTGCATATGACAACAGTAAGGAAACTGTCATTCTTTGAAGGGCCCTTTCTTTCTAGGGGAGAGTGGGGTGGGAGATGAAGTAGTGACGACAAGAGAGGCCAGTACTCATTGAATCTCTTCACCTTTCTCCTCTTGTCTTTGTCAAGGCCCCTGTCCCATCCTCCCTCTCTCTATATGCCATATAGAGCTTACCCTTCTGCCCTGAAGATGGAAGCAACAGGTTGATAACAATCTACTAGACCAGGCATGTCCAACGTGTCGATTGCGATCGACCGGTCGAAGGCCTATAAGGAAATTACACGTGAAAAGCATGTAAATTCACTTGCAATATAAAATAAGAAGATCATAGCTACTATTCAAGCTTTTTAATTATCAAGAAACACCATTGTGCAGCGAATAGAAATGATGTGTGGAAACATAACTGAACAGTTGTTGAAAGATGTTTCCAATTGTGTTGCTTTCTCCCTCCGACTGGATGAATCTACAGACGTCAGAGACACAGCCCAGTTACTAGTTGCTTTTACAACAAACACGTGTCATGTTATTTTTACCACCATTTTTGCTTAAAGCGAGGTATGACGATAGGAGGGGGTGGTAGATCACTGGCAGTTTTGACACTGAAAAGTCGATCACAACCTGTTTGAAGTTGGACATGCCTGTGCTAGACTATACAGTGTCACATCCATTAAAACTTAATTTCTTTCAAATAAACATAAGTTGAATATATCATATTCAGATTTGGATTTTTATTTTTTTTAAGGATTTGGTGAGGTGCTAGCAAATTCAAATCCTGTATCTAGAAGAAGAACAGCAAACAGTTCAGTACATCAAGAACTTTACAATCCAGCGAACGGCGGTCACGAAGTAGCTACTAACCATCGTAACAAGAGTCGGTGGAAGAGGATAGTTCTACTAATTGTTGCCATTACTGTACATAACATACCAGGTAAGTGTAAAGATTTGACTTGGAAACTGAGAATTTTCCTTCTTATCTTCATTTGTATGAGTCAGGTCATGTGGATCAGTCCACTGTCATGGCCCCCTGTTGGATTGGCATTGACTTACAGTAGGGATTCTTGTCCTGAAGTTTCTGTGGCCTATATCTAATGTGTAATTTTAGCTTTCAGGATTTAGCCACACTGTCAGGGGGTTCCATGGGCTGTGAGTATGTTGAATGAGCACGTCTTCATTGTGCGCATTGGACGTGTCCAGTCTTCAGGTTTTCCGATAATGGGAATAAACTTTTAGACACTATAAAAAGAGGGAATTGTTCGTCATGTAATTGTCTGGGATATAACGCCATATGGTCCAGTGAAATCAACCGACGTTTCGGAGGAACATATTGCCTCCATCTTCAGGGTTGAAGAGTGAGCTGAGCAAGAAACCTGCTTTTGTGCTTGTTTCTTGCTCAGGTTATTTTTCAACTTTGAAGGGGGAGGTGATAAGTTCATCCGAAACGTCAGTTGACTTTCAGTGGACTACACGGCGCTATATCCCACAGGATAAAACTGTTCATAACCACCGGTGTGAGATCATAAAATCCTGCATCGGCTTATCTGTTTCCTTTCCAGGAAACACTATGCATTTAATAATCTGACATTTTGGCTGTAGACACAGCTCTTGAAAGTTCAGATTTGTATTCCATATCTGTGCTAGTCCCAGTAGATTTCATTGCCTAATTCTAGGATATGATGACATTTAATTAGTTGGTTGTTTAACAAGACTGTGAATATCAGAGACTGCCTCTGTGGTCTAGTCATCGATTCCCGACTCTACCACATTTTGTGAGAAGTAGTGGGTCTGCAACAGGGTCCACTGACCCTCGTGAGGATAACTGAGGAGCCATTTCAAGGAAATAGCAACTGCAGTCTAGTAAAGGAAGATTAACGGCCATGGGGATCCATTGTGCTGACCACGTAACACCCTCTCTATGCAAAAGTTGTCACTAATTTTGCCGACAAGTGGCTTTCACTCAGTAGGTATAGTTCGCTTGCAGACTACAGGCCATGGAGGTTTTTTTTACGAGGACTCTATAACACTTGATGATAAGATGATTAATGAATGAAGATTTGGAACAGTGCAGTTCTGGCCTAATCAATGTACTGTCCCAGAATCAGCCTGGAGGTACTTAAAAAAAAACCATGAAAATCCTCAGTCCAGATATATAAACAAAACACCTCCCAAATACAATAATAGAACACTACCACTGTACTAACCTACTCATTGGGCCATGCCATAGCTCAAACGGTTAGTCGCTGGCTTCCCAACACGGCGGCCTGGGTTCAATCCCGGGTCTGGTCTCGCGGGATTTGTTGTGGACAAAGTGGCTCTGGGGCAGGTTTTCTCCGAGTACTTCAGTTTCCCCTGCCAATCTTCATTCCACCAATTGCTCCACAATCACCCTCACCTATCATCTGGGGCTGGTACAATAGGCCAGAAGTGGCCGCAGTAAAAGGGACTTAGTCCCACCCCACTAGCCATGAAAAAACCCACTCATTGACATCATGTAGACTGATAGATATTTACCAGCATTTGCAAGGAATATCTGCCTCCATCTTCAGGGTCAAAGTCAGTATGTTCCTCCAGAAACAATCAGATGATATGTCCTATCTCTTACATCCCAAGATTTCCTTTGGTACTCATTTGGTTTCAGAGGGCCTTGCAGTAGGGGTTGGGTTTGGTGCTATTGGAAACTCACCAGCAGCAACATTTGAAAATGCAAGGTAGGACTTTCTCCTTATCATATTATTGTTTCTATTATAGGCCATTCCCAACTTACGGTAAACCAAACTTGTGACGTTTATACACTTACACCTCATAATCAACATCTGATGTTTTTACCTCACACATGCTATTCAAGATTTGCACCAGATGTTAATTTATACAATACAACTTGTCCGTTCTCATCCACACTGTTGTCACCATCTTGGATGCTTGAAATATGTGTACATGTGATTTGGATATTTAATGTGCCATTCATTCATTTCCTTTATTTTCCATATATCCACACAGGTAAAAAACCTAGGATGTGGAAATAGTCCCTTTGAGAATAGATGTGTCCAGATACATATAATAAATTACATGAGTTACATAATTAAATCACATGCATTAGTCAGTTAACATAAATAATAAAATAAAAAATAAAAACACTTAGTAAAATTTAATTAATAAACATAATTTAAAAAGAACATTACTGTAAAACTTAAAATTAATACAGTTTAATTTAGATTACCTAAATTAACTGAATTAAATGCATTACAAATTTACACACTCATGACCAATTATGTTGATAATATTCATTCACAGAATAAAAAGAATGATGATATAAAAACCTCTTCAATGCAGATTTAAAACTTCTCTCATCAGTAGCCAACTTTTTTATTGTTTGAGGAAGATGATTAAAAACTTTAATACCTGCTATGTACGCACCTTTATTGTATTTTTAGGTTAACTGCAGGTAAATATAAATCATTTATTAAATAAATACAATTGTGCATATTGACATAATTCCAAAGTCCTTGGCATGTAGCCTCACAGGGTGTTGGTCATGTGAAAGACTTGGATAAGTAATCTCTAGATACAGCATTGTGGGCATTCATTTATTGACTGTATTTAAACTTTGACAAGAAGTTCTGACCAGAACTGATTGCATGCTTTCCTTTCACTACAAACTGAGGGAGGGTGTCACCAAGGAATGAATAGAAACAGTGCATCCAGCAGTTCTTTTATTGTTGCATGTGTATCCATTTCTGTAGGAACATGTTTATGGAGACATTGCCCAACAACGGCTGTCTCTTCTATCTCAACTATTCTGGCTTCCAGGTGTCATGACATTTTGCTTCCTCCTTAACGGTGCTCAGCAGTTTGAGAGACTGTAATGTTTGTATTATTGATGGGACATATTTATTAATTATGCTGTTGAGGTGGGCTCAGGTGTCATGACATATGTATCAGATTTCATATAGATTGGCAGAAGCATTCAGATGTTGATGGAGGGGACACACAGACAGCAAGGTGTTCTCATAAGCCTACTTTTATTTTTTAAAACTAAGGAAAGTAGGCTAAAAATGTTTGTTGTACAATTTATAACACTTATTTCCTCTTAATGTATAGCGTAATAAAGCTTGATCCATATTTTTTTTTCCTCCACAGCCCTAGAAATTTTCTCAGTAAGTCTGTGGGAAATTTATATTGTGATTTAGAAGAAATCGTTTGGATTCATAAGTTGGGAACAGTCTCTGCCTTTGTTTATTTGTATTAGAATAGTACTCATATATTCAGCATCTCCTTCAGGCATTATTTCTGTTTTGTATGGGTTAAAGGACACAGAGTCTACAATCTCATCTTTCTTCCTGCAACCCTCCCGCTTTTTATTTCTTGCCAATTGTTACCTCTCCTCTTGCTCTCTTGCAGTCCTTTACTGAAACATCTTGTTGTGGGTTGTCCCATAGTTCTGTATCCTTTAAATTTTAATTCTAATGCCACTGGCTAAACCATTATTATCCTTTTGCATATGTAAAGAAAAGTTTTGTAAGCATGAGGTGTGTCATTGTTGTTACTAATATTGTAAGTGGCCTCCGTAGTCTAGAGGTAACGTTCCCACCTCATGACTCATAGTACGCGGGTTCAAATGCCCGGCGGAGGTCGTCGAATTTTTAAGGGCGGAAAAATTAAGGGAGCAAGTCCTCTGGGAGGGACTTTTCGCTGTGGGTCCCGTGTCGTAGCTTTACGGCACGTAAAAGAACCTCATATCTCCAAAGGAGGTCACTGAGCCAAATTACGGACATTTCCCGCCCAACAGCAGTCTCTAATACCTCTGGTAGATGGGGGAAGCATTATAGATATACCTCTCAGCTAGTAGAGCCGGTCTCGCTGACTGGGCAGGACTGATGGTAAGCACCAGTACCGGTAGGATATAGAGACTGGTAGAAATCATAGAGGGAAGCACAGTGGACCAATACAGGTCTAAGTGCATGGGGAAACCCACCCTCTCCAATAACTAACTAATATTGTAATAGTTTGGTGTACATGTGTGTGAAGTGTAGTATACTGTTAGGAGGAGATAGAATAGAATAGAATAGAATAGAATATATGAGGGGTAGGCCTTCTCGGCCCTTGTTCCGCGACCTTAGCTCTATTGTGCTTCCCCTTTTTAATTATTCCCCCAGCAACCCCCATACAGCCACCCTAGGAGGAGATAATTTATTACTTGTGTATGTTATTAGTAGGTGATGGCATTAAACTTCAACCTCGACATATCATTCAGTAACATGTAGGGCTGGGAAGGAATATGGAAGAAAGCAGGGGAATTTAAGACTAGGAAAGCTTGCATAAGGAATGATGAGATTTCTCATTTAATTCTCAGCAGGTGTTAAGGTTAAGGTAAAGGTAAAGCTGTTCTTGTGCTTAACTAATTAAGCACTATGCCATGAAGATGTATGGACCCAAGTTTTCTTCACTTCAGCACTAGCTGAAGGTGAGTGGTCAGCTTCACGCACCAGCTGCTTTACCCCCAGGGAAATATGAGGCTGGGTGGGCCCCAGAGCCGGTTTTGTCAACATGGAGCAGAGAAAATTCTTGACCCAACTGGGACTTGAACTCTAACCCCTCGGTCATCCAGCCCGTAGCCATTCGATATACCACCTACACTACCTCAGCCCTCTCACCAGGTGTTATATTAGTTTAAAATAAAATGTATTAAAATTTCTTTCCATCTTATTATTCAAGTACACCATCAATAATGCAATAATAATATGGTTCATGGATATAGTAATTTATATGCACTGTGGTCTCATCATTATGGTAACACATAGAGCTTAATGCATTTGGTGATCTGTTTTGATATTCCTAAGCCTTCATTACCATTCAGTTGTGAATTATAGAAAGAAATGTTTTGTGTAGCATAATTTGTTTTTAGAGCTTCAGTTTTAATAAGTAAAAATATTGGACTGTTCCTTGCAGTACAGTAACATTTATGTGTCATTTAAGAGGTAAAACAGCCCTAGTATTTACATTTATTGTCAAGTGAAGTATTAAAGCTCACACCACAGAGGTTATGTCAGACATTTAAAAGACAGTCTTAACAGTGAAGGGCCCATATATTGGACGATATGTCCGATGTAGCTTTGTACCCATTGCTTCAGTTCAAGACGATCTAATTACTTTCAAGTATGCCACTATCTGATCATGACGAACACTGAAAAGAGTTTAGACAGGCACTTCATAAGCCATTAAGCAAAGAGCAAAATGAGATCTTTCTGGTGATCAGCCGTGTCAAGATGCAGTTGGATCATCCACTTTTACCCATGTGCCAAAATTTTTTAAAGAATTCTGAGCCCCGCAAAATATCCCCCAAAAATCCATTACCAGTTTATATTGTAGACATGTGATTAAGGTTGATGTGCAGTGATGTATTCGTATAGAATGGAACCGGTGTGTAGTAGTTACATTTTGCGAACCTAGATGGCGAGGAGTCCGTTTTACAATGGCATTTGTTGCCTCGTAGGTGGTCTGCACTGTGCGCTCACTGGTAGAGAAGTAGATGCCGGCATTTCTCAGGTAGTTACGATATCAACCGATAGATGGCAGTGACTACTGTTTCCCAGTGGCCCTTTTGCATGGTAGGAGGTCTGCATGAATGAAGCTTGCCGGGTGGGCTTCTCGTCGTGTGGTACAGTCGGCGAGGGACGAGGAATGGAATTCTATACCAGACCAGAGGGCAGTGAGCAGTTGTTTCGGGGCTCCAGGCGCCGGACATTCCTTTCGTATCTGACCTCATACTACTACCTCAACCAAAAACATGAGCATGTCTGCGGTCAGGAAGAGTTAACTATCTTCTGGGATGTAACTCCGTTGAAAGTCCACTGACGTTTCGGAGAAACATGTCGCATCCATATTAAGGGTCGAATAAGCCGAACCTCAAATCCTGCGTGTCTGCAGTTCATACCGGATTTGCATGAAGTTTAATATATTTCGCTTGATTTTGTTGGAGGTCAGCGTCGGCTGTTGTGGTTTTCCTCAGTCCCACCAGGTAAATGAATGTACAATACATTATATTAGGCCACGGCCGCTTCCTTCCACGTCCTTTTCCAGTCATTATTCATCAGTCTCATCTTTCGATCCTATGCAGGCAGTGGACTTCGCCGAACTGTTGGTTCTTCTGCGGGGAAAAGCATTACCTTATTGCCTGATTTGCAAATGAATTAAACGTAAATGTTCTAGAAGGAAAACGTATGCGTGGACACTACGCCTTCCGGTCTACGTCTGCTTGTGACACTCGAACCGCCGAAGGCTGTGATGTTCAGTAAATTTGGCCACCCTAACTGCTGCACCTGCATCTTCATAAACCCTGAAGAAAATGGGGTGATATGTGCCTCCGAAACGTCTAGATTTATTCGGACTACATGACTTTAAACGCAGAAGACCATAATCTTTGTTTTCACCGACACGAGATCCCCAAATCCAACTTGCAGAAAGTCTTAATGTTGTTATTTTAGTGCCATATTGTGTATAGAATAATTTCTACATTAGGACATTTTTTGGCCATCATCAGGTAGTAGTACTTATACAGTAGCTCAGCTGTTCTCCCCTTTCGCATCTTGTCATAGAATTGTACGTGTATTGTGAGACTGACCCCGGACAAAACATTGCTGGTATCCCCGGTAACTTCGACACAGCCCCAGCAGATGGAGCGCCACAAATAATTTGAATTGACAAATAAAAG